CAATTTGAGGTGGTCTGTCATGTCCAATTATTTATCCAACCTTCTCACACTCCTAGAGCTACCAGCATCCCCCAGCTCAGGTGACACATTTACCCCCTTCTTAAACTGTTCTCTCTTGGGTGATTGTGAGGCCTCACACCATACTTCCAAAAAGCTTGGCCAAATTCTCTTGGGAGATCCACACACACCTTGCATTGCATCCACCCTTAAGATGCCTGTCAGCATCTCTTTGCAAGATGCCAATTCATTTGGTGGTTTGTCTGTAATTTTCAACTCTGCCATTCCTTCCAAAATAGTTCATAGCACTGACCACAAGGGATAAAGGCAAGGCTCTCAACAATGATGATCTGGTTCTCCCATCTGTGGCTATTAATCCTGCAATCCACCAAGTTCTTGATATCCTTCCCAATGAAACTCTGATGTTTATTTATTTATTCAAAAATTCAATTAAAAAAAAAATACCACACCCACCCTAGGTGGGTGTGGTACCATCCATAGATCTCAAAAAGTACTGAGTTGCACCACACACCTGCCCTAGTGGGTGTGTGGTACCATCTGTATAAATCAAAAAAAAGGTACCTAGTAGTACCACACACCTGTGAGGGTGGGTGTGTGGTATGTCCATACAAATCAAAAAAAAAAAAAACACACTACTTGGTACCACCACATAGGTAAAATTAGGAGGTCACCAGGAGGAGAAAAGAGGATGGTGGGTCAAGGGTCAAGGTAGGTCTGTGCAGGTATCAGATATCAAAGATATAAAATATGTATATTCTACATTATTATATTTTAAAAAAACACAATAAAAGAGTGGGTATATGTCAAAAAAGTAATATACTTATATATTCTCAACATAGATTTCAATTAAGGTCCATCATAGAAGGATAAGAAATACATTATGGATCCTCCTTTTTACCTCTTCTTTCCTGGGTTGACCTCTTCTTTTTTGTTTATTGCCCTCCTACCATTGTAGAGGAGATAATGGTCATTGTCTACTTTGTACCCTTTGTTGGAGGCTGTCTTGTTAATCTTTTGAGGTCAACAGACCTTGCCTATTTATTTCTAAGATAGGTTATATAATTAATGTAAGTATTCTTAATAATAGGTCATTCACGATGGAGCAAAACATGCAAAAACATGGCAAAAATGTAGTAAAAACTGGGTTAAAAACCCCTTGAAAACAGCCTCATAATGGCCAAAAACACTATTGGAGAATATACGGAAAATCCTGTTTTTGAGAGTGTTTTTGAGACTGCACTGTGAAATCACCTGCCATCTCACTTGTAGCTGTTTTTGCCTTCCTCTACTGTGCTCACATGCCGACCATCTCATGTAAGGCTCGTCTCCTCCATGAGACCCTCCAGTGGGCTGTGGCTGTGTCGTATTCCCTCCACTGCCAGCATGTGCAGGACAGCACCGATCACCTTGAAGATCTGGAGTGGGAGTCCTGCTTTGCCTCCTTTGATCATCTTGAAGATGACTCATCACAGGCCTCGTCTGCATCATCCACTTCTGAATCATCCACCTCCAACTCTAGTCTGTCCCTCTCGGATTCTTCATCCCTTTCAGCCTCTACCTCTGACTCCGACTCTAGCAATATCAATGGCCCTGTTTGTGATGTGGAGACTCAAATCCAAGAAACCCTACTTGAGCTGGATCTTACCTTCAGCAATCACAATGATGAGGATGAGGATATCTGCTGCCTCCTTTCCCTTGCTGATGAGTTCATGACTCTGCTTCAGGGAACCGGGTTATCTATCCAAACAGTGTACCCAAAGCCTCGCAGTTACACTTGGTATTAGTCCTCTACATGGGCAATGATCTCAACCGGTTCCGACTCAACCTTCATGTTTTGCCATCCACCTTTGATGCTATAGTCACTCAGATAGAGCATCATCCTGTCTTTCACAATAACTCTTGCAACCCACAGTTCCCTGTCCCTTGGCAACTCGCTATTGCTCTGTATCAATTTGGGCACTTTGGCAATGCCGCGGCAGTTCAGTCCGTTGCCCAATGGGCTGGAGTTTCAGAGGGACTCGTTGTCAAATGCACCTGCTGTGTCATGATCAGCATTCTCGCTATGCATGATGATGTAATATGCTGGCCATCCACTGATGAGAAGGAGGCTGCTAAGTGTTGGGTAGAGTCTGAATCGTGTGCAAGATGGTGGAATGGGTATTGTTTTGTCGATGGCACGCTCATTCCGCTGTCACAAAAGCCAGGGTTCCACGGCAATGCATATTTTGATCGCAAGTTGAACTACTCACTCAATCTGCAGGTATGCAAACTGATACATGCCACATATGTATAGTACTCATTTCCCTACATCTTTGTGGCAGCTCATCAGCCTCCCCAATCTTAGGATTATTGATTATGTCATTGGCCACACTGGCAGCGCCCATGACTCAACCTGTTTTCAAGACTCTCATATTTCAAAGGAACACGAGAGCCTCTTTTCCCCAGGGGAGTGGATATGGGCAGATTCGGCTTATCCAGTAACAACTTGGTGTGTCCCCCCTTACCAGAAACCTTATCGTGAGATACCTCAGAATCAACGGTTTAACACTCTGCTCGCACATGTAGGCACTCATCAGAGTCCTGCTTATATAGTATACTGATGAGTGTGCCTATAGATCTGAATAAAGTCAGAACACACAGTGGGCTACCTGAAAAGTCAGTTTGCATCACTTCGAGGCCTTAGACAGCAAATTGACAACCCTCGAGACCATGAGCTCACTGTCATGTGGATTCGGACTTGTATTGTCCTTCACACCCTCATCGGACAGATCGAAGATGGCATGGAAGACATCACATTCTTGGAGCCAGAGGGTGATGAGGCCCAAGACTTCACACTGACCAACGATCCCCTTCCCCCAGGTGGATTTGATGATCTTGCAAATGAAACTGTGGGATGGACTTTCCAGCGATGGCTCCAAGACCATGCCATACAGGAAGGATGGATTTGGTAGACTATATGTGTACTCCATATGTAACGAACATGATTCACTGTGCTTACATATGAGCCCCCTCAGCACCAAACTGAGCATGAAGTTCTGATGTATAGTCCATACCGTAATCCATATCCCCCAAAGTGCCCATACGCTCGCTACTATCTGGCACCCCACCTTGACTGTACTCACCAGGCCCACTGCTGCTGAAGGAACCAGATTCTGTGAAAGGAGAAGAGGCACCCAAGGCTAACATGTGAGGGTGAAAAACTGGCAAGAGTGGTGGTCCCAATGTGGATGCGGAACCTAGGTGATCCATCTGGGGGGTGTACGAAGGACCCGCAGGAGCTGATTGGCAAGCCTGGGCAAGCTGGAGCTGTAATTTCATTTGCTCAATCTCGAGATGCTTCATTTCAAGATCATGCTGGCGTTTCTCACAATTCTCCATCAGGCGATGTTCCTCGGCAGCCCCCTCATAATGATGCTTGCGTTTGGTGGCTCTTCCATCAAGGAGTAGAACCTTTTCTGCATGTGAGGTCTCCAACCAGCGATGAGCAAGTGCGGCTTCTTCGGAGCATGCTGCTGCAAGAACTGCAGCAGGATCTTTGCATGTCATCAAAGGTGGTTTTGCAGAAGATCCCTTTGCAATTTTCTGTTTATTGATGTCCCAGCCTCGGAAGTCTTTCAACAAGTCCAGTGAATTCTCAGGTTTGGTCTTGGTAGAAATTGGCATACGCATGGGATGAATATCGAAGTCGAGAGATGGTGATGCCAGTGATGGTGAATATAGTATGCTGATATTCTTTGACTTGTGTGTAGGAGATGACTGCATATGTCAGCAACCAGGATGATTAGCCTTGTGTGAAGACGGAACTGGATTCCCATACCATTTCAGAGAAATTTTGTGTCAATTTCTCCACTGAATCACCCTCATCATCAGATGTGTCAACAGAGACACTGGCTTTTTCTGGACTTGGAACAGTTCGACAGAGTCTGATGTCTTCAGTTTCAGTTTTCTTAGTGTCCGACACCTCGAATAGCTCTTGGGCTCGACTGCTATGATCCTGGCCTGGTACTGAGTTCGTAACGGCAATTGGATTATAATTTGGCATCTCTTGCCACCAGCCATGTAGAGTCTCAAAGAGGGGCCACTTGGCCACAATCTGGTCTGTGAGCAGTGTCACTCTTAGACTCTCAATCATGTGTTTCAAGATATACACACCGTAATAATTTTTTATTTCACTATCCTCGCCCATCTCCTCAGCAAGAAGCCCTCTGCCAGTATCCTTGAGCTTCACAACTTCCATCTTGTATCTTGAGTGCCAACTGGAGAATAAATGTGAATTTTGTTAATAGAGACATGATAAAACTGAAGTCGTACTTGTTGATCTGGCCAGCAAGGGATGTAGCATAGCGAACTTTCCCATTCTCATAGTCCTCTTTCACAGCCTGATCTTCATCATTACCAAAAATGATTTCGCACAGAGCTGCATACATCTGTGACTTCTGCATTTTGCCTGTCTATTGCAGTACTCCCTCAGTGTATTGTAAGGCAATAGAAATGATATCCTTACAATTTTGGACCTATTCTCCTCCTTTGCCTTTTCCGTGCTGTCTGAGAAGAGGGCAGCACGAAACTCTACATTGTCCATGAGGTGTGTTATGAGGCGACCCCACCATCGTGGGTTTTTGCTCCATGGGATGTCCCTATTTTCCTTTGGTTTTGGCACCCGCTTACCCTTTTGGGCAAGAAGAGGTCCCGGGGGTGGAGTGAGGGGAGCAGTCTCAGTGTTGGCGGGTAGAGGAGGGAGAGACTCAGCATGTTTCCTATGAGGCATATGGTTGGTTGTAGGCTTAGAGATATGTTTTGGTCCTGTTTTTGGGTTTTCAACTCAGGTGGCAAAAACACAGATTTCTCTCAAAACAGGTCCACAGGTGACTCTCAAAAATGTTGTTTTGGTACCTGTTTTGGTACCTATTTTTGTACATGTTATGGACTCATTTTTTCACTGTGAAAGACCCTAATATATGACCTCTTTACAGTCTTATATAAAGCTCATAACTTAATGGTTAGAATGTTTTCTTGATGAGAAAATTGTTAGTGGTTCAAGTCCACTTGAGCTTAACCTTGAGGTCAGCCAATGATGAGGATTCCTGTCCTAACCAATAACAAGAGTGGCCAGGTTAATTAACCCTCCCCTCCTACCATTGGAGAGTAGAGGAGAGAGGTCAAAATTTGGTTGCCTCACCTATTTCATTCATTTTCTGAGGTTTGTTGAGGGTGGTCAGCAGGAGGACAATATATCTCATAAGAGAGAGGCCCTGATGGCTCTAGAGATAAGGACAAGGAAGTAGTAGAAGTAGCTGCAGTGCCTTCCATCCTACTACCACACTATGTTTGAGGGAGGGGAGAAGTTGGTGGGAGAATGATGTAGCCTGAGTGTACTATATTAGATACAGTTTTTTGGGGGCCTCTTATGCTGAACTCTCCTATTTATAGGGTGGTTGGGCATCCAGCATTGCCACAGGATGTAGTTTTGCTGAGTAACTGCTTGGGCAGATGTGTGGTGCCATCCATTGAAATTCAAAAAAAAAAAAAGTCCTTAGTTGCACCACACACCTGCCCTAGCAGGTGTGTGGTATGGGGGGCTGGGCTTGGTGATTCACTGGTGGGTGGGTCATTTGCATGAGTTGCAGGTTGCCATTGCAGTCCATTGTCATTTCAGGAGCTCCAGTTTGGAGTCTATAATAACACCATACATTAGTAAAAAAAAATTTGTGGCAACACAAAAGGAGCAGCTTGCACTGCTGTACATACAGAAATAAAATAAAAAAGATACCTTGTAGTATCACACATCCACTTCAGTGGGTGTGGTACTTGTTTTCTACCATGGTCATGTGTTGTCCTCAGTTGTGCATATGGGGCCTGTTCATCATTTGGGTGGGTGGTTTGCTTGGCAGGTGGGCTGCTGTTCTCACATGTTTGTTCAGCAGGGTCATGGGTTCAGATGAAAAGCTAGGGTAACAAACAATGGATTAGTAAAAAAAGGGAGGGGAAAGGAAGCCACACAAAAGGAGCAGTGTATGCTGCTCCCTTTGCACAATTGTACTTACCTTGAAATTGCTACACACCTGCTGAAGTGGGTGTGTGGCTCATCTGGGGTCCCTGCAGTCTTGTGTCATGCATTACCATTCTCAGGTTTCATCTGGTGGATGTTCCTGGGTGGGTTATGTTTGTCCCTCACCTTGGTCAGCCACTTGGACTGATCTCAAAAGGCATGTCAAAGCACATCATATTAAATGTTTATGAGACATCAAAATCCTTTGATATCAAATAATTTCAAGAGGGTGACTTTGGGACTCTCAAACAAAGGTTTTTGATATCAAATGGTCTCAAAAGTGTGACCTATATCCAAATATTAACAATGTACAATTATCCACAATTATTTTTAATTACATAATGTCCAAAAGCGGAAATTACATCAATGTACTTGGCCATTCCCATTTATGGTACCAGATATTGCTTCCAGAATATTTTCATATTAATAATTACCTCATCATCAGGCCTGGAATCAAATAACAATTATCAGTGGAAGCAGATGGACATATTTAGCTATTGGGATGGGTGCATTACACCATGAGACTGTTATATAATCATTCCTGAATAGTATCCAATCACATAATAACATGTTTCCTATTTAAAAAATGCCCAAATGCAGTAATTGGATGAAATACATCCAAAAAATATTTAGCCATCCAGCCCAATGGGGACCAGGACCAGGGGGAGGTGCCTGGGATAGATGGATGGACACCTAGGGACCTTGACACAGTGAAAAAACCAGGCCCAGGGCCATTGGTTAGTGCCTGAAACAATGAGAACAGTAAAAACAGCACTGGAACCACTGGATATTACTGGAAACTAAGTGCTTGGCCAATCAGTTTGAAATTTATCACATGATTATAGACTATTAGGACGCAAATCATATTAAACTTTCAGCTTGATCCATGCATTACTTATGGAGATATCAGCCAAACAAGTCTGGACATTGAAAATTGATTTACTCCCCCCACAGTCAAGATATGAACTTGAAATTTTACACAGAGTATAGTCATATAATGGACTATATTTATACAAAAAATCAGCCCAATAAGTTGAGTTTGAGACATTCAACTCCCTTGGCAGGCAGAAAGAGAAAAAACCCCACCATAAATGTGAATCCCCCCACATTGGGCCCAAAATAGGTGGAATTGACCTGTAATATTATGATACAGACTATATCCAAAAATGGAATGAATTGGATGTGTGGAAGTGGCTGAAATTGAGGGGGAGGGGGGGGAAAATCAAAAGTGAATTACACAAGATGTAGAGCAGGGATGGATCTGATATTATGTCACTAGGTAATATGTATATGTGGAGTTCATATACAAAATACCAGCCTAACCAGACTTCATTTAGGCATTGCTCCACATCATCCCCCCCTAACTCACAATTTCCCCCCCCAGGGCCTTCCATCCATGCCATTACCCTGAAAATTCACAGTTGGCTCATCCAAACACATTCATAACATTCCTCAAGATTTCAGATTTCTTACTGCAATGTCAGACCTTGCAGAATATTTTCAAGTTTCACTGTAATACACCCTCCAGTGGGGGCACTTCTAGCACTCCAATCACTGTGATTTTTTGTAAGCCACACCTGGTCACCATTGGAGGCTCAGGTGCAAAATTTCAGCCCATTCTAAGCACTTCTGGAATTGGTCACATGACCCAGATCTTCCCCTCCCCCTGCTTCACTCAGTGATCCAATTTGCATGGTCTTTGTGGCCATTTGTAGTATTAGTGAGTGACACCCCATGATTCCAATTTGAAGACATTCCATGGAATATTCATCGAGTTATTCAAGAAACATTCCAGATCAATTCAATTTGAGGTCAGAACCACAGTAAATTTCACTACATACCATACCTCTAACCCCCCAAATTGAATAGATCTAGAATATTTCTTGAATAACTCAATCAATATTGCATGGAATGTTCTGAAATTTGAATCATACACTGTTACATACTACTACTACAGATAGCAACAACTTTCATACAGATTGGATCACTGAGTGAAGCAGGGGGAGGCAAGGATCTTGGTTATGTGACCAATGTCAAAAGTGCTTAGAATGGGCTGAAATTTTGGGCCTGAGCCTCAAATGGTGACCAGCTGTGGCCTACAAAAAATGGGAGTGATTGGAGCTCTGGAAGTGCCCCAATTGGAGGGGGTATGTCAGTGAAACTTGAAAATATTATGGAAACTCTCACACTGGAGTCATGAATCTGAAATTTTGGGGGATGTTATAAATGTATTTGGATGACCCAAGGGTGAATTTTCAGGGCCATTGCATGGATGGAAGGCTCTGGGGAGGAAATTGTTGTTTTGGGGGGAGTGCTGTGGAGCAGTGCCTAAATGGAGTCCAGTTAGACTTATATTTGGTATGTGTACTCCCTATATATGTGCTAGACTAGTTGTATAATATCAGAGCCATGCCTGCTCTACATTTTATGTAATTTCCTTTTGACCTTCCTCCCCCTCCCCCTCAATTTCAGGCACTTCCACACATCCAATTCATTCTATTTTTGGATATAGTTAGGGTCATACTGATCAAAGCTTATTCCACCTAGGTTAGGCCTGAGGTGGAGTGGCTCACATTCATGGTAGGGTTTTGTTCCCATTTTTCCTGCTAAGGGAGTGGCATGCCTAAATGTAAACTAAAAAAGCTGATTTTTGGCACATATGTAGTTCATCATATGGCCATACCCCATGTAGAATTTCAAGTTCATATCCTGTCTGTAGGGGGAGTAAATTAATTTTCAATGTTCAAACCTGTTTGGCCCATAACTCCATAACTAGTGGATGGGTATGGCTGAAATTTTGATATGATTTTCACCTAAGCAGCTTATAGTCATGTGACAATTTTCAGAAGAATCTGCACAGTGGTTCTTTTTCAGAAATTTCCAGTGGTTCTGGTACTGCCTGTCCAGTTCACTGCCTTAACCTGGATGGATTGTAATAATCTTTGCCACATCATCAGTACACTATATTTTCATGCTCCCTGTAAATTTTCAAGTCCCCAGCTATTCTATGGGAGGAGAAAATCAATTTTCAATATCCAAACCTGTTTGCCTCATATCTCAATAAATAATGCATGGATTTGGCTGAAATTGTAATATGGTTTGCACCCAGATAGTCTCTAATCATGTGCCAAATTTTAGACCAATCTGTTCAGCTCTTAGATTCCAGCAACTTCTAGTGGTTCCAGAGCTGTTCTTCCTGCCCTCATTGTTTCAGGGATTAGCCATTGGCCCTGGGCCTGAATTTTTCACTTTATCAGGGTCCACAGGGGTCCATCCATCCATCCCATGCACCTCCCCCTGGTCCTGGGCCCCCATTGGGCTGGATGCCTAAATATTCTTTGGATGTACTTCATTTAATTTCTGCATTTTGGCATTTTTTAAAGATAGGGTACATGTATTATGTAACTGGATATCATTTAGGAATAATTACATAATATTTGTACTAAACTCAGACCCAAGTTACCTGCCTAGACTTGCTTAGGCACACAATTAGACACCTCCTGGTGATGGTCAACTGTTTTAATTTATCCACACTGCATACTAAGCCCTCATGGACACACCATGAAACTCTAATGAGATATAGCAAGCTCTAGACATGACTTGACACAGCTGATTTAGGCATGCCTAAATCAACTGCAGGGTGCCCATCAAGTCATTGTAAAACCCCTGGAGCAGCACCTGACTCTACACATCACTAGACCTCACTGATTTAGGCATGTCTAAATCAACCCTGTGTTACGAGTCGTACTTGTAACCTCACTTACGCACGAATAACCAAGCCAATCGCGCCATCACGTGACCTTAACCCTTGCCGCCATTGTGCCTTCCTCTTTCAGCAATTCCTATTATATACATCCTTCCTTTATTCAACACCCCTTTATCCATAAAATCCTTTTGATCTCTAATAGTATAAGTAGTTACTTGATGTACACTCGCTCTTTAGAAGATCGAGAATATATTGTCAACCGATTGAATTCCACTCTCACGATCTCAGTTATCGCTCGCG